CCATATGCAGTAAAATTAGAATTCTGACAAAACCTTCCATCCAAGCCTGAAAAGTCGTGTTCTAAGTTCGCTGCGTCAATATCTTTCAATAGTTTTTAACCAGTTCCAGAATCGGAGGCTGGATGTTGGTGTAATGCCAGCAGTAGTGCGGTTTATGTTGGAGGACCTATGGACTCATAAAACCCCAAAAAAGGGATTTTGAGTTTTTTTAATAATTTATGTTGGGACAGACAGCGCTTTTAACCATCAGGTTTTAACTGTGGACACACCACATGCCCATTTAACGGAAACCGATATTGTAAAGAAGATGAACGTGCGATCTCTAGAACGGTTGATATAGTAACGCGGGCTTTTGGGCCCACACAGGAGCCTATTATCAAGGACTATGAGAATGCAACAATTGGACTGGTATGTGGTCATCTTCTTTGAAACCTGAATCTGAGACTCGCATATTCGACTCTATTCGGGAAATCACTATTAAATCAGGTCAAATTTCTCTAGGGGATTACGCGGCAAACCCGAAAAATTCTTGCCTCGAACAGCCTATGGTCATTTCCCGAAGACTTTTGGCGAGTAATTGCGTCGGCAGGAGCGAAAGTCAGGGCACTTTTATAAATGACAATTTGACCATCGATTCCGACGATGTCCACCATTTGTTCCACAGCAAGGTGAAGCAGGCACGGTGGTTTGTGCGTGAATTAATTTAGGGTGAGTTCAGACTCCTCCTCTCACCTAGACCCGTTGTCAAGACAGAGTCAAGAAGACCGGAGGCGGGGGAGGGAGAGGGCGCAGATGGATGGCACGGTCGAGCCATCTTGGCGCTCCACTCCACACCCCCTGATCCACACAACAACTGTCCAGGATTCTAACCAACAGCAGCAACACCCCCAACAGGGGTCAGAAGACCGAGGATGATGACTGGGCAGCCATGCTCACAATCTGTATACCCAGCGGGCACGTAAACGCATCTACCGGCAAGGAACCAGATGTCAGGAAACTGCCAGCGCTCATAGCAGGCCGCGAGGGCCAGGTTTTGCTGATACTGGCATAGCAGACGCCTACAGACCCTTAGGCCACTGTTATAAGTACCCCCGTATTATAGATGGTCTTGAAGTAGATTACGGGTAGTTGGGCTGAGGATCTGGGTTACCGTTAAGGTTAAATTTAAAGAACGGGGAAAGGTCTCCTGGAATTGAATGCAAGGCCAACTCCAATAAGGCGGGGGTACTTATACTCGTGTCCAACCAAGTCCACATTCAGCTGAGATGCTAACAAAAAGGCTATAGGATGCCTACGCTACTGGGATATTACCTGCCAGCATTTAGAGGGAGGTGACTGGCTCCATCTGGTGGAAGCGCTCGTAACTGAACACAATGGACACAACTACCCAGGTGTCTCTAAACGCGCCATAATCAGAAGATCAAAAACGCCTTCAGTTTACTCTGAAAAATCTCCACAACTATTTTCTATTGTAAACGGCAGAATTTTTCGTGAAGGTGTTGACGCGACATTCAAAAGTATGGAAGCATTTTACGTGGTTAAACCTGCCGACACAGGCAATTCCAAAGGTTACCCTTAACAAAGCGGGAGGAGGGGAAAACACAGCAAAAGCAGCGTCAGATCGAACAAAGGCAGACGAGATTGACACGAATGTTGATTAAACTTTTTATAGCAATTGCTGATTGTCTGATTTCAGCCCATACTACCGCAGAACGGAGCTAGCTTGCTAGTGTGCGCGGCCCGCTTCAAGTCGAATCACGACCGTGTCCAACAGAACTGACGCCAAAACACTGACGGGACAAGCGAAGCGAGTAAATTCCCGTCTCCTTTTAACTTTTGGACCCAGAATGTTGGGTTCTAAAGGATATCCACTAGATTGGAATATCCGGCAACTCCAACTGCTTCCCACTTCATGAGTGTTCTTGGAACTCCTATCACTGGCATGCAAAACAGCAGTCCCCGGCGAGAGTAGACAAACCTGCCAATCGCACGTCACGAAGAAGGGGTCCTTGACAGCTGATTATGAACACTAGCTAAGTAGTCACTTCCAGATTGACGACAAGCCTGGTTCACCTAGAGGGCACACACTGCGGTTACCTAGGTAAGATGTGGTTATTTAGTCCCATCTGATGGACACTATACCGCTGGCATTGAGGTTAGGAGTGATGGTTAGTGGCTGGGGTTGGGGTTAGGGTTGGGGGTCAGGTATTAGGGTTAGGGTTTAGGGCAATTATTTTTCAATTACTCTATGCACAACTGCGTATTCCCAATAGCTTTTCTTTTTTATCCAACTACTTGACCTCGTCGCCTGTGCGTTCCCCGGCCCCACCTGTGAAAAATCCTTTACCACTAGTCTCGTATTACAGGTAGCTGGGGTTTGCGTACTTTAGGTGGGGCTACATAACCACATCTGACCGTTATTTGTTGATCTTCTGACAGCGCCTTCAGTTCTAGAAGATTACAGCTTGGACAAAGTTAATTAAAGTAGTCTTTGGACTAAAAAATGAGAGGTGATGCGATGTAAGACAGTCAGAAAAATTAAACTCAGAAAGTTCAAATTTGGGTTTGCCTGTGTACATCGGTGGGACGCATTTCTGGCAAACAGGGAGTGCTGCCAGGCAGTAAGTCCACATCCATAGTTTAAATAAAAAGGGAGGGTTAAAATATGTCACCTACGCTAGTCTTTGCATCAGCCAAGTATTAACTGACTCGTTAAACAAATATCTTTATTAGCTAACGCAAGGTATTTAATATATTTCAAAATATCACTTTCCAGCTCTCTTAGCCGACTGAATATGATTTCAATGCGAAGAACTACAGTAAACTCAAAATATATAGCACCTCACCGCAGTTTGAGCTCTCGCTTACTTCCAAGTCATAGTTGTTAACCAGCCACTTATAGAAGCGTCGTTGGAATTTGGAAAGCCTCTTCCAAGCCTCGCTCTCCAACGGCGGGATACCGTAGGGTCCTCGAGCGCCAGCGCCGCCTTCCGCCTCATAAACATCAAACTCCAACTTCTTCTCGAGTATTTGTGGCAACGAATGGCTGCCCTCATTTCCGGCCGCGTATCTTGCATGATTAAGGCTATAGGGGAGTGAGAGAGTAGACCGAACCAGCATAGTCCTTCAGAACGCAATCCGCCTTGCTAATGAATCCTGACTAGGCAGCCGGTTGCATTTGCTGCGCCGTTGGGTAATGCCTGCACCACTGAGCTGGCCAGTTAAACTTACCGTGACGGTTTCGATCCGGCCCCAGTGATCTAGCCAATGGGAATAACTGCGCGCCGCACTCACATACGGAAACTTTGCATACGTTAAACCCTGCTGCCTACTACTGTGGGCGCTCTTGTGAAGGTGTACGCGCGGCGTGTTCTCTCTCAGTGTGTGTGTGTGTGTGTGTGTTTGCGCACACAATCTGGCTGGCAGCGGCCGTTCAAGCTGCTCAACTTGCCTTTTTCAAGTGGCGGCAGTATATGGGGTGCGGACTGTTGCCCCTCGTCAGAGCACTGAGGCCGTCAGAGTCGGCACGCTGCCTCATTACCGGGATCGCAGGGAAGATTAGATGTGACTGTTTCGGTTTAGAGGTACGGTGGTAAAGGGGGAATCTACTAACCTTCGGTTGAGAACGGCTGGGAGACATGAGTTAAAATAATCCAAAATTGAGCTGCTCTCTCTCCCTCATGAAAAAGTGAGCTTGATAAAGCTTACTTACTGTGGTCTTGGAATACTCGCTTAACGCGAAGGTAGACCCCTCGGCTGTCTGAAATAGGCATCACAAAGGACAGTAGAAGGTCATCTAACGCAAGATACCTGCTGACTGTAAAGGTCTAAGTTTCCTTTTATTATAATTTGACCTGTGCTTGCGGCAGGTTTGAGGACGGGGGATCGAAAGTGAGGTTGTCCTTGCGCGACTTCTTTCTACTTGGAGCGATTCTGGCGCTTTTGACCTGCACCGGTGCAGTAAGCTAAATGAAGAAACAAATCAACCTTTGGAAGTGAAGGTCGGGCTTCCGGGATTCCTTCGTAATAAGCCCATATGACATCTCTCGTCGTCATGAGATCCAGACAAGTTAAATCTGGCCTGCGTGGAATGAAAGACGGGCATGCGTGTGGCACACAAAGACGGAACTACTGCGTCCGGGCCGTATTCTGTCGGGAATTGTCGTGGGAGCCGTGAAAGGTTGAGAAAATTGAAGGTTTTCGGGCGTGGTTAGTAGCCACTGACGCTGCGGCAATACAGTCACTTCAGGCTCACTGATGAATTTTCCCGACCGTCCCATGGCAATACGGTGGGGCTTACAAACAAACGTGTTGATGGACCTGGTGGTGCCCGTCCGACATCTATCTCTCATCGGCGCCTTCGTGGAGCTGTTTTCTACGTAGCGATCATGCTCAGTAAGCGTTCCAACCAGCATGCTAACCGAGGTGACTTTGTATCCTATGTGTGCGTCTCCACACCTGGTAATCGCTTCCCATCTTCCCTCTGCAGAAAAAATAGTAGCCCTGAGGAAAAAGCAGCCCCGTAGGTATGTAGCTAAAACTATCTTGGACCATGATCAGTAGTGGAATCTGGCAGCCGCTCGGAATAAATCGGAAAGTCTACTAGGGGATCTCAGTGACTACTCCATCGAGGGGACAAGAATTGGAAAATATGTCCGTAATTACACTGCCGGTAATCTGACCGTAATTTGTGGACGTAAAAAGTGTGGTCGAAGCAATTTGCAAAGGAGCAACTCCCAACCCCTTTCTCGTGCACCACCACAGTCTGCTGCAGTGTCTCTATTCGCCATGACTGTGTTCGCTCTTTTTTAAACAGCAAGGACCGCTCAAGTTTCTCGATACAAGGGGAACATCTCGGCACTCAGTATGAGCAACTTTTCTAAACAGGGCAACCCACTGTAGTAAGTGGCGGATATACACTCGCCTACAGCAGGCATCCAAATGAACAGCAATACGACGCTGGAGTCGCCTCCTCTGTCAAGAATTACATCGTGGAACAAATGATCGGCCTCCCACAGGACATGAGCGATCGCCCCACGATCCTCTGTCTGTCTCTCCGCAGAAACAAATTCACCAGCATCGTTAACGTCTACACCCCCACCCTCAATACCAGATCAGACGACGTGAACTGCGAATTCTACGAAGACCTGAAAACTCGCCTTATGATTGTGCCGCAAGTGCACACACTTGCTGTGCTTGGTGAATGCAATGTTCACATCGATATACAACACGCTACCCGGGGTAAAGTGCTTGGTCGCCAAGGCATTGGCGACTGCAACAGCAATGGACTCCTTCTCCTGCAGGTATGGACAGAACGCGACAGTTCGGCCTTTGTTGCCGACGATGTCCACCGTGTGGTCCACAACATGGTGGAGCAGCGACGGTGACTTCGCCCACCGCACCCCCACCTCCCCCACCCTGAGCCCGGTGTCAAGACAGAGTCAAGAAGACCGGAGGCGGGGGAGGGCGCAGGTGGATGGCGCGGTCGAGCCTGCACCTTGGCGTTCCACTCCACACCCCCTTGTCCACACAGCAAATGACCAGGATTTTACCCAACAACAACAAGGGGAAGGACCGCAGGGTTCGCACCGTGCGCGACGTCTGCCGGCAACTGGGCCGGCCACCGCACCCCGAAATGTTGGCACTTGTTATGATACGCACTCCGATAACGCCTGCCAGAATCCGATATGGTTCCCACGTTGGGCCAACGCATCTACCACGTGGCCCGTTTGGGGGTGCACAGCACAGAACAAAGTCTTCTACACACCAACACCCGTTTCTGCCTTCCAAACCACGACAGTTCGACTGTAGTGCCCGACAGTGTCCATCGTGTGCTCCACAGCAAAATGAAACAGGCACGTTGTGGACTGTGTGGACACAGCCTCGCCCAAGGCACTTACAACTGCTGAACTACGTCCTCGTGAAGAGGCGCGGCTAGCGTAACGTAAATGCAGCCAACGCGACGTCCAATGCAGACTGCTGGGCGGACTAAATGGGGGTGCAACTCCAATCGCCTGGCGATCGGAGTGCAGGACAGCACAGAGTCGAATATCATGATATGGACGGGGGTGAAGGCAGACCGGGCTTAGGCCAACACCTAAAACCCAATCCGGAGTAGGTGTCAAGCCTGGAGTGGGGGGGCGCGGAGGAGTAGGCGGAGT